GCTCAAATTGTCAGCAAGCAGGGAATGTGACAACAACAACCATGACTACTACTGCACTTAAACAACAACTACAGGCCCAACAACTGCGTTAGCGCGCCGCTTGCAAGGTAAATAAATACAAATAAATACGACAAATCATAGGAGCAGCAGCGCGCCATCGGAATTTGTGGTCAACAACTGGCAGAAAACTGTAAAATCGACAATTTTAATGGGATTTACAAAACGCGGTGACAGCCAGAGTCACTTAGGCACAGGGCACTACCTATGTACGCAGCGATATTTACATATGTATATATATATAYATAYATATGTGTGTGTGCATGTGTTTACAAACAGTATTAACAAATTGGGTGAGTAGGGCAGACATCAAACGGTGTAACCAGCATGGCCCCAAAAACCTCAAACACACACACACACATATGTATATGCAGATATTCGTGTGTTATTTTGCGGAGCGCTTGGGTGCGCTTTAAGCATTGACCAAGTCGCCAGCGCTACCAATTTACAGCTGCAGCCGCAAACCATTTCATTACATTTTATATCATTTAATTTCATTGCGTTACGTTGCGTTTTGTTTGTTTACATTTTTGAATTGTGTACACATGCAAAATTTCATTGTGGCCGAGTGTCATTCAAATTTGATGGGATTTTCGATGTTTTAAGCAAACAATAGAAACGCACGCGCATACATACACGTAGATAAACTTATATGCATTCAGTATATACATATGTATGTATTTTGATCGCTTTCAAATGCACAAAAGGCATTTGAAACACTAAAATAGTTTCATTTCTATTTGTATATTTGGATTTTATTAAATTTGTAATTTTACCACTATGCCACCTAGCAACAAAAATGCATGCACATCACACACTAACACATGCGCAAGCATATTTTTACTAATTTCTAATATTGACACGCCACTGATAACAATTGCTATTGTTTGCATTCGATTTTATTTGTGAGTGGAATATTTTTTTTGTATTTCATTGCCGCGGCGCTTATGTAATTTGACGCTGTTACGTGCTTGACAAATTAAGAGCAAATTTATTAGAAATATAGTAAGTTTTCGCGCTTATTAATAGGCATGTGCGAGCGCTGATTGCGCTGATAGTTATTTGCTTGCATTTATTTACAAGTATGCATAAGCCATTCATACTACAAATATCACATATGTACATACATACAATATTTACATATGTATGTACGTTCGCTTTAAGTAAAGAAAAATGTGATCATGCAGTAAATATTATATTATATTGCAATAAAAGGCGAGTATTTGCAAGTGATTCTTCAAATCATTGTTATTTCAATAAAATAAGGATGAAAAGTGCCACAGGCAAATCTGAAAAATATATTATATATAATGTAAATAATAATATAGTGTTGCCTTGGACAATAATTTATGGCGAATTTCGTGAAGATATCTTATCAAATAAAAGAGTTTTCAATACAATCTTCTTCTTCTTATTCTTCAGTTTATGTGACAGCTATGTATTATATAATATATGCGATAATGGACCGAACGGAATAAAATATTCTCARATTGTATCGTTGCCTTAAAAAATTATGCATGCCAAATTTGCTGAATACATGTGTCTAAAAAACATAAAACTATCGATATTTATGATTCGATCATTGCATAGTAAATTCAGATTACATATCGATTCAAAACTGCCCAATTTTAATATATTCAAACATATTAATTTTAAGTTATATTTAATATTTTAAAACTAGATTTAAGTTTCAATAATAMGAAAGATACTTGTTTAATTATCATAATTATTTTAATCGATAATTTTTTTAAGTATCGATAACTTCACACAAAATACACTTATACTCGAAAAACGTTAAAAATATATCAATAAAAAATAATCGATATTAAAAACTATATGTTTTATCGATAAAATTGTTTTAGCAGTATCGATAATTTCTTACAAAATATGCTCAAATTTAAAAAAACTTTAAAATTTTATCGATAAAAATTAATCTATATTAAAATTTTATTATTTTTATCCAAAAAATTGTCAAAAGTATCGATAACTTCATCCAAAATATACTCGCATTCCATACACGTTGAAAATATATCGATATAAATTAAGTTATATTAAAATTATATTATTTTTATCGATAAATAATTGTTAAAAGTTTCGAAAATTACTCACAAACCATGCTTAAATTCAAAACATCTTAAAAATATATTGATAAAAATGTATCGCTAAAAATTAATCGATATTCAAAGTTCAATATTTTCCAAAAAAAAAGATATTTTTATGAACACAATTTATGTATTATCAATAACTAAAATATTTATCAAAGCTAAATTTAAATAAACCACACGAGCTTGTTAGTACTGATAACGAAAAAGCAACTCTTTATAACTCTATGAAACCCACTTAAGAAATAGTGGAAACTACTTATTATCAATTTATTGCATTCCACGTGTTATAATAATATAATAACCCGTCGTTTCTAATGAAGATTGAATTTTCCATATATAGCGCAAAATTCTTGACTATAGAATTTCTCTAATTTTGTTTTATCTAAAATTTTAGCTTTAAACAATTATTTTCAATAACAAAAACAAGGGCTCAAATGACCAACTCAGTTGAGAAAACAAGGGTTAAAGTGTATCAAAAAATATGCAATATGGAAATGTTCCTCTGAAGTCATATATAGTAATATACTTGGTATTGGACTTTTTGCAAACACAATAAAAAGTGCATTTCACAAACACTTCAGGTATCGTAAAATCAGACAACATGCACAAATGACATCGAGTAGTCGGAAGATTAATGACTCGAGAAAACAATAGTAAACGAGAACATATAACGTATAAGTAGAAAATGATCGGTAAAATGTCTTTTATCGTTCGAATATAAAAATTGTAAATCAAGAGATGATTTAATTATGTATGCATAAAGCTTTTGTATTTTATTACACTTCGACGGCATTGTGACTAAGAAACGCATTCATGAGGTGCGCCAACGAAACGAAAACTATAACGAACAAAATGCTGTGAGAACACAGAGGTATAAAAGAATAAAGGATTACAGGCACAAATAATGCAAAAGGAATACTCTGAAGGAAAAACAATGATGAGCAGTAGAATAGTTGTCAATCAGGTAGCCCACCACTGAATGGCCTCCAAAAAGTTCAATACCAATGAACTCGTAACCCTTCAAGATATTTTTTAAGGCATGTCCGGCAGCAACGTTTCTTCTTTTAAAAGAAAAACAAATGTATATTACTGCAGGAATAATTCTAAAGTCTGTGTTCATCTGTGTTTACTCATGYGTCTGGTGYGCTTGCAAGGTGCAGTTGTTAAAGSAATGCTGAAGGCTGAGGGGACAACTGCATTTTCGAGTTTACACAGGACAGAATCAYTGAAGTATGAGCGAAGCAAAAGACGTAGAGTTCAACACTGCGGAAGTAATGCAGCACGCAGGCGGCCTTTCAGGTTTTTAGATCGCAATAGTCGAGACAGATAAATGGCGCGTAATGCGCTTGATGCTGTTGTCTTACAGAACCTACCATAAAGTATCATTATAATAGAAARGAAGTAAAAAATATAWTTKTAAARTATAWAGGGATTCACAAGCTCAAGGGAATCACAGCGAGCTTTTTTTGCAAGATGCTTAGTTCGCAGACAATTTATCGGTGATCTTGTGAGGCAGGAGCATAGGTAATAATTATAATCTTATACATACATATACCATAAATACAAAGGTATATTTAATTTCATAAAATATGATGAAATGTAGATGGCGTGGCATCGTAATTAATTGTAGAATAATTTTGTATTGTCGTTTAGTAAAGATAATATATTTTTATACACAAAAAATCAAGAAAAAACATGAAAAATAAACGCAAAGAAAACAATTTACTTTCCTAAAAAAAATTGATCATTTTTAATCGAACATTAGAAAAATAAATCAATATCATTTTTAAGAGTAAAATTGTTGTGTGAAAAAAAATATTTGATAATAAGTTTTTAAAGTTCTTGCGATAAAAAACTATCGAAGTAGAGGATAAAAGGATATTTTTAATAGAAAATAAGTAAAATAAATSGACAYAATATGAACATTGGGTTAAGAGAATAAGCTAAAAAAATTCGAAATAAAGAAAAATGATCGAAACATATTTTTAAAAAAATTATAAACTATTTTTTACGTTTATGCGACAAAAAACCATGGAAGTAAAAAAATTATCGAAATATATTTTAAAAATTATAAACTATTTTTTAAGTTTTTGAAAAAAACCATGGAAATAAAAAAATTATCGAAATATATTTTAAAAATTATAAACTATTTTTTAAGGTTTAAGGAAAAAATATAAAAAGTTTCGAAATATAAAAAATATCGATTAATTTTAATCGAAAGTTGGAAAACTAAATCGATAAATTTTTAAAGAATAAAATTATAGTGACTATAACACAGTCGATAAAATATTTTTAAATTTTTGCAATAAAAGTTATCGAAATAAAGTAAAAAACGATATTTTTAATCGAAAATTAGTAAAATAGTAAATCRACATACTTTTAAAGTTAGGTTAAGAAAATAAACAAAAATTTATGGAAACATRTGAAAAAATAATCGAAATATAGTAAAAAAAAAGTTTTCTAATTTTTTATCGAAAAAACACAATGTTTTGTGAAGAAAAAAAAGATATGACCAAACATTTTTATGCGGTCAAAATATTCAAAAATTACAAAAGATCGATAATTATGTTGTTAAAAAAAAATTTATGATTGTTATGATGAAATCTGCTTAAAAAGTTAAAATTAGTTCTTGTATTTCATGTTACTGTTATAAATTATATACTGTCAGTTACTGTCATATTCATCTCAACATATCTACTTTATTGATTTAGAACTCTTCAATCGAATTATTTGAATGCAAATAAATATTTGTTAAGCAAATTGCTGCAGAAAATGCATATTCCCACAAATAACGTAATTTTCTCTATTTTTCTCTATTCATTTTTATTTTTTGCTCACCTGACTTAGAATAATCGTCACATCATCGCTCTTGAGACGAGCAATCATAATCGAAGCTATGGAAAGTACATAATCACCAGCCATTGTAACCTGTAAGCAATAGTCGTAAGTGAATTAGTAAAAACAATAACAAAAAAGAAAAGGAAAAGAAAAAATATGAAAAWCGAATGCATTTCAGCTGTCATTTCGGTAAAATAATGAATCACTTAGGAATCGGAATAAGTTTAAATTTTACGTTAATGATTTTTTGGGTATTTATAAACGTAAATAATACAAAAACAAATAAAAAACATGTATTGTATATAATTTGTTTTAAACGAGTACTTATTAAAGCCATCAGCTAACTTCAACAAACATATCTGTCTAGGTCTTTTAGGTTAACCCTTCTATCACGAGTCTTTACGGGTTTCATGAAATAATATTGGAATAACGGAGAACGTCAGTGTCCAAATTGGCTGAAAAAAATTTTGCCAAAAAATGTGTTTTACTATAGAAGACCGCGAATCTTCAATTAACCAGTTATGTATGTATGTCAAAAAAGTTTGTATCAAATTATGTACGAAAGCGTAGCATACATTTCGGCGCCATGAGCAATTTACAATTATAGAGTATTTATATATAAAAAGAACATATGCAATGGGAAATATGCAAGTGCGAAATTCATTACAATGTTTTCAACACTTTACTAGCTTACTTCATTTTGTATTTTTTTGCTATTGTTGTAAATACCACAAATTTCGAATCAACTAAGCCGTCATAAGACACGCCAGCTTTTAAGCGCATAAACACATAAATTTGTCAGCATTCACGTAATGCTAAACGTAATCATGCTGAACGAATACTTCTGTCGGCCACTGTCTGCCGCCTGCTGTTTGCTGGTTGTCAGGCCGTCAGCTACCGCTATTCCGCCCTGTGCGCTYGCCGCTAATTCGATTGGTATGGATAACGCTGGCTGTGTTGTTTACACGCATTGCGTAATTTTCGATTTTGCTATGCAAAGTGCAAACTCGTCGGGTTTTTTTTTCTTATTCTTCTTCTTCTTCTTCTCGATTTATCTTTGAGCGGTGTTAAGCAATTTTCGTTAAATATTTCGCACATAATTGATATCTGTCTATTTTTTACTGTTTCTGCGACTATTTGAGGTTAAACTATATCGGATTTAASTTCAACACTCATTTAAAGTGTTAAGCAAGTTGAACATAAATTGAAAAATGCGGAAAAATATTTGGTTTTCATGTCAAGTGTTTGATGGCTTATCGTTTTTGGTGAAAAAAAAAATTAACAGTTAACTAAGATATTTGTAAACAATACCACAGTTATACGAGGTGTGGCTTGTATTTAAGGCGGTTACAGCCCAGATTTTAGAATGGAATTAGAAAATCATTATATGTAAAGTGGTGATTTCTTATACTTTGAAATCTTTCTCGTTAGATTATTAACTCGAAAATATCTTTTTTCTATAAAAAAAAAACAAAAAGCTCAACTTTTGACTCTCCACTGTTAAACACCACTAATAAAATAGGAGTCAACTATACATAAAATGTAACCTAAAAAACGCTTAATAATTGCTAATAAACATAAAATATTTAACTCGAGTTTATTTACTCTTTAATGTCAAACAGTACTATTAAACTCGRAGTTTTCCATATATAAAATTTTAACTCGCTTTAATTAGATTTACTCAAACACCCAAAAGGAACAGTTTTTTACAAACTCCATATATTTTACTCGAGTTTATTAAATATTAGACACTCCGAGTTTAATGGAGGCTTTCAAATTAGTGATTGAACTCGCYTCAATTAGGGTTTCTCAAACATCCAAAAGGAACATGTTAGTTGTTAGTAAGCACAAAATGTTTAACTCGAGTTTATTGACTCTTAAATATTAAACACTACTCTTAAACTCAGAGTGTGCCATATATAGAATCTTAGCTCGTTTCTATTAGTGTCATTCAAACATCCAAACGGAACCATTTTTTGTAAACTCCATATATTCAACTGGTGTTTATTAACTCTTGAGTGTCAAACATCATTAACAAGCTTGGAGTTTTCGATATTAAAGATTGTTCACCGCCTTTAAATAGAATTTTTTACATCGAAAAACGCATACTTGTCAATAATTCATAACACACACAATAATAAAATGGAGTTTATGGTATTTTTTTTAGGAAGAATTATTATTTTATAACCAACCTTCGTACATCCAACACTATCTAAAAATTAATTAGCTTTTGACTTGCATCAATGGTTTGGTTGCTAGCAGCAGTTACTGTTTTTATAATAGATGCCAAATTACTATTAAATGGCACAGACGTTCAAAATTGCCGCAAAAAAACGGAAAATGGAGTTTAAAAGATTTTATGGAGCAAGCATAATCGTAATGCTGATTAAATATGATTTAATAATAAAATTAATAATTTTTGTAAGTATAACTGGAGGCTTATCTAAATCGTGTTGATGCAAATTGCCATATGATCAAATTTAACCCAGACTAATGTGTCGTTAATGGCAATAATATCGTAAAAGTTAAACAAACAGTTCTTGAAAATCGTAGAGTTGGCAACAGAGAGATAGCAGAGATTCTCACCATCTCATATGCATCAACTCAACAATTGTTCGTCAAATTTTTGAAAAAGTATTTTTTCCTCAGTCCGGGTCAAATTTGCCAATAATAATAACATTTCACAATCACTTACCGGAACTTAGTTACTTAGTCCGATAAAACCAATATTAATCGAATAAAATCAAATGGGCTCACATGAACATAGATTGACAAACAGTTGGTGTACAGGATCGCAACACATGCCCAAAAATTGAATTTGGAGGTGAATCACTGATGGCTTCTGAATATTTACGCGAAAATGAGGTAGGCGTAATCCGAAGGATCGATGATGCGTGTCGCAACTTATATAAATATTCAGAAGGACTCATATCTATTAAGTCTGGATATATACGAACTCAAGCGGCCACACGGATATATTTGCACACAGGCCATGATAACGGACTGYTTCATGCCTGAACTGAAGCTCGTGATCTCGGACACATTTGGTTTCAAGAAGACGGCGCCACTTTCCACACGTCGCATCAGTGGTTTGAGAGCACACTTGGATAATAAAATAATTTCACCTTTCGGTCCGGTCGATTAGACAACCGGATCGTGTGATATCAYTCTGTTTTTCATATGAGGATATGAAAAGTCTCAATTCTATGCGGATAATTCCGCTCCAATTCAAGCCTTCGGGGCAAAACATCACGCGTACCATTCGCCAGTTATTAGTCGAAATGCTCGAACGAGTCATCGACAATTGGACTTAACATCGGTCATCATTTGAAAGCGATAATCCTCAAAAAGTAAATGCCAAAGAATGTTGTTTCGAATGATTATAAACATTCTCCATTAAATTTGATTTTTYTGTGTTTTTTTCTTTAAAGTAGGGAACCAGGAACTGGATCATCCTTTATAAAAATAATAATTTAGAAAACTCTAAAGTAACTAATAATCCTTGTTATTATTTTTACACACTAAACATGCTATATTGTCATAGTTTTTTTAAATAATTTTTTAAAGGTAAGACTCATCTATCTTCTGTGTGTCAGAGAGACAAACAAAACAGTAAAACCTTAATTTCCATTACCTAACACCAGACACTTTGCAGCCGCAACAAGGTAGGCAACTTTTCTGTAGAGCTCCAGCCAAAACAACAACAAATATTTTTTAGATATGTGGACCACCACTCCTAGATTATAACCTGCTTAAGCACACTATTTAATGCCATCAATATTATACATTGCCGAATTTCGTAATCGCTGGCGATAGCCATCGAATTGACATGACAGCCAAATTTATAAATATGTCTATGGATATGAGTGCCTGTTTGTATATGTATATAAGTGTATGTATATGTATATAATATGTATGGTATGTATGCAAACATACCCACTGCTTTCCGCTTTTTGGCAAAATCAGGCGAACATGAACACCGAGTTGAATACGAACCCGTTTTTAGGCAGCTAAATTGCACATTTTCGATTTGTGGCACATGTCACAACAACAACTGCAGCAAGTGCAACAAATYGCTTACACATGCAACGTTTGGCGGCAGCAATAAAACAGCTAAATAATCCGCTTGCCAAAAATGAGTGCAATTATTCCAAAGCGAGTCGGTCCACATATGGCCCCGCCAATCGAAGACTTGCTATCAATACCACCGTGGGTAGGGGCATGGTGACACCAGCGGCTACCGACAATTTGTTGCAACATCGACGTAAACTTGTTCTCATTTCCCATATCGGCGCAGCACGTCTCGACGCAGCAGCTCAGCTCGGCCAGGGACCTTCARCGAACGTTTAGGAAATTTCTACCAACCGAAAATGGACACTTGCTGCCGAATCCAGCAAAGATCGGACGAATTAAAGTAAATAAAGTATATAAATCGTTGAAAGGCCTTAAATGCCAGTTGTTTGACCACGCAATTTGCGGACAGTTAGTCAGTTGAGTCGGTTGAGTCAGCTTGTTGCTGGCAGTGGCAACGAGTTTGGCCATTTTGACGTTGMTTTTCAGGCGGTCAATAGCACGACACTTGGCTAATTTTGATGTTGCAACCAAAAGCGGCGGCKAGTAGTCAAAACCAGTCCGCAGTAAATTGAGAATTTAGAAAAATTGTTGGTTTGCAAATGGGACGTAAATGCTCGTATAATCTTACACTATTAAACAATTACGAAAATAACTGCACTTTTATTAACAGCAATTAACACGAGCGCTGAAACGGTATTTAAAGCAATCTAACTTTGATTGGCTGTCAATTGTTTCTTTGAACTATGTAATAATATGCACTTTGTTTGAAATGGCCTTAATAACGATAATATAGAAGTTTTGAAATCGAGTTATAGTCCACTCAGACTATAAAGATGCAAATTTTGTTAGTTGGATACCATGTTGACCATGAATATACCTCTTAATGAATTTCTGTTAGTGTTTCCGAAAATCAATTCATATCTTAGGGTTTGCTTAGCTGAAATAGCATTTTGAGGATTGCGAGTTGAACATATTATAAAGTGTTTGCTTGAAAATAAATGTGAATACTTATACACATTTTTATTACTTAAACTGTGTTTACCTTCCGTAACAAATCTAGCAAAAGTTCTTATTATTTTTAGTTTTACTACTTGCATCAGGTGGCAACTACATATATACCAAAATTTAACTAAATTGAAAACTTTCCAGCAACTCTGCATGTTTGACAAACTGTTATATTTTTCTAAGATTTACTTTCTCAATAGGTGGCAACGCTACTGTAAAAAATTTCGTAAATTAAAACTTTTGGGAAGGTTTTCTTAAATTGCTCACGCTTGGCATACTGTAATATTTTTTCAAGTTTACTTTTTTGATAGATGGCAGCGCTATGATAAGAAATATCGTAAATTAAGACATTTGGGAAGGCTTTCTTAAGTTAATTATGCTTAGCATACGGTAATAATGTTTTTAGTTTTACCTTTATTGATAGGTGGCAACACTGTGCCAAAATTGTAACTTTTTTTTTTAATATTTTCTTAAATTTCCTTAAATAAAAAAATGAACTGTTTCTCTTTTTTGCTGTTCTCGACAAGTGGCAACGCTATGTAGATTTTTATGCAAATTCAAGACTTTTCGAAAAGTTTCTTAAAATCCCTATGCTTGGTATACATTTTGTTCTACTTTTTCAAAACTACAAGCATTTTATATATGGCAACTCTATTCCAAAACAACACTTTTATAATATTTTCTATCTTACTTTTTTGTATAGATGGCAGCATTGATCGACATACTGTAATATTTTATTTTTATCGTTGGGTGGCAACTCTGTGAAAAAAATATATCTAATTTGCTGAATTTCCGGTATATTTCCTTAAATTTTTATATTTTGCATAATGTACAATTTTTTACTGTTTTCGTCAGGCACATATTTGATGTTATTTTTTCAGTATTACATACTTGAATAGGTGGCAACTGCATTCCAAAAAATGTAAACGGAAAGCCATTTAAAAACCAAATTCCCAAATATTATTCTCTGACATGCTTGACTAAACTTTCGAAATAATTTCGGACTTACTTTTCGATAACTGGCAACCCTATGCAAATATATGTTTCAATCAAATTTAAATTATTTTTATCATACCTACTACTTTTACTTTTCGATAGGTGGCAACCCTATACAAATATAGATTTCAATTAAAGACATTACTTTGCTAATACTTTAAATTCTTTTTCTACATTTACTTTTCTGGATAGTTGGCAACGCTGTTTCCATATATGTCTAAATTAATACTTTTTGAAATGTTATTTGAAATAGCCTTATGTATGATTTTTTTCAGAATATTTTTTAAAATATTTAGCGAAAAATATTCAAAATTGTTTCAATTTAGGAACGTTTGCTGCGTTTTCTTGCATTTGGTTATAAATTACCATCTGTTCTGAGCTATATTTTCAAATTGCGTTTTGAACTGTCTTTTGATCGTTCCCAGCGCGCATGGCATATCTGCCTGGAATTCCTCTAAATAGGCTTTTTCTGACTGCCAACTCGCCTGCTTTTTCATTAGCGAAGCTTTTACCGATAATGTTCCTGTGACCGAGGACTCATATCAAGGATAAGTGGAGTTAACCTGATTGTGGGCTTAAAGCCTTCCTTTATTTGTTAACAATGCTGGAAGTAATCTATGACGAAGACAAAACTAGCAAAGCTATATTGCTAGCTGAGTTTGGTAGGCAAATAAATAGAGATATATAAAAATCCTATGTTGTACCCCCATCTCTACTCTGCAATTCATATTGAACCCATCGGTACAGATTGAGATAGTATCACCTCCACTACTAAACCTCCTCTACACTCACGTCAAGAGGGTATACTCAGTTGGGACTAACTATTGACATCCAATCTTGAAAAATTACTACTTATCTTTTATAGCAGAGCTTACACAAAATGGTGGTTATACTAAGGTGTGGTGATCCGAATTCTACGAAACTACGAAGTCTTACAGCCATAATAAAAAGTTGTTGCTTTTATTCTTCGCAAAAATATTACAAATACTTTCGACAAAAAACAAAGCTACAGCAAAATTTAGTGTATGTCTTTTTAATTTACCATGCATTCAAATGGCATGCYATTATACCAATGACCTTCACTAAAGGGCATAGCAAATCTCCATAGAAAATATTACTCTACTGCAAAATAAATASACAAACAAATGCTAACTGACATTTGCCACTCACCTTTTTGTGATTCCACAGCGCGTTCACGCTTGGCTTGCCGCGACGAATATCCGATTGATCGATGACATCGTCATGCACCAAACTTGCAGAGTGGACCATTTCCGAGAAGAGCGAGATGAAGCGTTGTTTGTTCACTAAATTGCTAAAAAAAAAAAAATAAATAATAAAATAATAAATAAAAGGCAACAAACAATGGCGAAGCGGCGCAAGGTAGCAGAGACGCACATGCCAGCGCCAGCGGCTGCTGGCAGGCAACAGTGCAATGAATGAAATAATTCCTGTTTAATTAGCACCGTTAAGCTTAGGCCAAACTAAACGCGAAATCGCGCACAACAAACAAACAAAGTCGCAGCCAGCGCACGCACACACTTGCATATGTATATGTGCGCAACGGTGGCAAAAATGGTAAGTAATGGTGGTTTTGGTGCCATTGGCGGCTTCGTGGTGACCGTATAACCTTTCGCAAACACCTTCAAAAGGCGCTATTATAGTCGGATTTATTGGCCGATGCGCATTTACGCAATGTTGCACGCGTTGTATTTTTGCTTTGTTTACAACAACAAACATGCGAATATTAACTAACAGCAAGGCAAATAAATGCTGCCGAGTTAACAGCATGAATTTTACCGCAGATCACTCATACGCCCCGTGCGCCAACCGCAATCAAATGCGTCTTTATAACGCTTTACAGTGCCGTTGCTGTGCTGGTGCGTGCAAAAATATGCAACAACAAACTGCTTATTAACAATTGTATTTTAGTTTCAAAACTATAAAATGAAATTTTGAAAAGTGTATTTATGGCACTAAGCRCGCCAAAAAGTATTGTGAAGCGCATTAATTGCGCATTTCATCGAAATAAATTGAAATTATTTATTTTCTGCGCATTTTCAAGTAACTCTAATTGAATTAAWTWWTTKKTKKT